GAGAAGGGGAAGTCAAATTTATGAGTGCGCACGTCATCATCACTGAATTCTGTGTGAACTCTTTTTTAGGTAGGTAGGACTTCTACTATTAGGGCAATCAAGAGGAGTGCGTCATCATGAAAATGATGAAGTTCTTGAGTGTGATCCTCTTCTTCATTGTAAAGCTGCTCCTGGCTGCTGATGCGATACACCAATCAGTACTAGTTCAGAATTGTGTGCAGCTACATCAGTATTCATCGTGGACGAAACCAGAACGAACGCGGTTATGCTCCCCAAACTTTTCGACGTTCCGGTACAGGACTGGAGAAGTATGGAGCGGTGGACGAGGTCTTGGTTGCTAAATTCAGCAAAAACTGCGTCTGTTTACCCGTTGTTCATTGTGTGAAGACGAAACGCCCGGAAGTCTCCGTGTCCTCGTCATACATCAGCACAGCCCTAGAACCAGCTTGAGAAAGTGGGCCCTTAATCCGTCGCACCCAAGGGAAAGACAAACGCTCTCAAGAATCCGCCGAAGAAGGAGAAAGCGCTGCTCGCCATGCTTTCGAAACGGTACTGCAGTGCAGTATCTACTTTGTAGATTCTACTACAGTAGATAGTTAGATACTGCGCGCCGTAGATACATAATTGCAATGCACTTCCTGTAATTATCAGTCCAATAACTGAAGTTCAAAGTTACTGGACTGATAAATACGTTTTGTTCAGTAGAATGTTCAAAGTTTGAACATACTGAACAAGACGGTCCGTGACCATCGAAGTTATTTGTAATTTGGGTGGACAAAGCCCTGTCCTGGCAGGCAATTCTGAGTTTCTCCGAATGGGGTTCTTTGCCCTACCCTTGTAATACTGAATGCAGCATATAATTCTGCACATTTGGGAGCTCGACGCCGTCTTCTTCCCATCCGTACCACAATTTGACTTTGTCTGACTTGCGACAATGACTTCCATATCTTCAACCGGGCCATAGTTCAGTGCAGAACTGTATTACGACAGTCAGGCGGCCTGAAAATCTCGGGGTATTTCTCGGCAAAGCCAGCTATGAAGAAAGCTGCATCCCGAAAAGAGCATCATACGGTGCAGACTTGCGATCTCTCCGGCTACACTTTCCTCCCCGGGTATCTATGATGCCAAAGGTAGCGGTCGGGCACGCATTTTCTCAACAATGACCCTATCTCTATTGGGTTTCTCCCCTGCATGCGCGACACACGATGCAGAAATGCAAGAGCGCACAAGATGACTACCCGAGGAGTATGACGGTACCTGCTTCTTAAGGAAGAATGGCACCACCAGAGGTGATGTTATGCTGGCATCCATTACAATGTCGAGAGTTCCATCTACATACATCCCACGAGTGGATATCGCAACCCATTTCGCGATTTCTACGCGAACAACTGTACTACTGCATCCGCGCAGGGCAGCTGTTCCAGATCCTTTCGCATCCAAAGTAGGCGGAAGGTTTGCCTGGCCAGAAAACGAAGAGTGGCCGAAATGTCCGCAAGACGGGGAGGTATTTGTGCCCATTCTGCAACTCAAAAAGAAGGATGTTCCGGAACTCATCTTTCCTGGTGAAATGGATTTGTTTCAGCTTCTGTGGTGTGGCGAAGACCACGAAGGTGAAAGTGCCGATCCGCTTACTCATGTGTTTTGGCGAAAGGCTGACGCAATCGGGCCTCTTCTAGACGAAATGCCTGCAACGTCTCCTGACATTTACAACACTTCGCACATTCCTCGTGAGTGCGCAGTGTTTCCCGAACGTGTGGTTGAGTGTGATCCGGCTCAGCCAAACACTGATTCGGAGCTTATCGACGAATGGCTACGAATTCACGCGACTGAGGACTTTGAGGCCATTGGGTTGATAGAGTCGTACCGCGAGGATGCATATCTTTCGCAGTTTGCCGCTGCTCCCAGCACCAAAATTGGAGGCTTTCCTAGCTATATTCAGGACATGGAAGAGCAAGATATCCCAGTCTGTGAGTGTAGCTCGAAGATGCGTTACTTTCTTACAGTTTCGAGTCGTGATATCGGTGACGGCTGCAGCCACTACCGCTGGGCTCCAAGCGATATTGAGAGGGATGAGAACCACTGCCCTAAACACGCAGCTTTCTATGGAACCGATTTGTGTCTCGGAGATGCCGGCAGCGTTTATGTTTATATATGTCAGAGCTGCCCTTCTATGCCGACGGCTGCGATTCTACAATGCTCCTAATAACGAGTAGTACGATATAAAAAGTTGGGGTTATGTGTTAGGTTGAGCGATTCTATGCTTGTAACCAGCGATGACTTCGTAGACTTCGCAACACAGGCCAGACCTACTCGGTTTGCTGCCGCTACATTTATAGCTTAAACCAACCATAGCTGAACCCTGGCAGCAATGGTAAGGTCACATCTTGCTATGACGGTCTTGATTTAGAAAACGATGCGTTATTGCTTTCTTATGACAGCTCGAAAGCCCAATCTTTATTACTTGGGCGATGTAGGAGACACAGAGCGAACGCGATCGACCACCCTGCTTTCTGGATCTTGTTCTGCTTTCTTTGTTGTTGTTTCTTATGGGTCCTTAGTGCTTAATTGCTGCATTATCGGTAGCAGTATCGTTCTAGAAATACTTCTCTTTCCGCAGGAAACCAAGGAACTTCTTTGGCCACTGCTGCTTTTATTGAAAAGACAGTTTGCTTCTGGGCCCTCCAACGTGGTTTATGAGGTCTCGCACGCCAAAACTTATGTTTGTCTCATCATGATCATCATGATGAACGCATTGTACAGTATCTATGACTCTACGAAGAAGAATAGATTCTTTGTTGATACCAATATTCCGTACACGATCACCGTGGTGACGGCTGTCTGAAGGAAAAAGGGTAATGGATTAGAAGGCTAACAATTTCATCCACAACCATTTTAATCCTGTATCAACCCAAACCACATCACGGGGTATGATATGTTTCACAACCGGCTGTACCTTCGTAATAATGTGAAGTCTGGAAAATCGCTGAGCTTCTCAATCCTCCTTCACAGCGCGCACTTTGAGAGTGGTTGAGGTGGAACCAAATTGTTCATGCATAAAGCATACACGTAACTTCATAGCAGGGAAACGAGAAGGACTCGGCAGTGGCATGATGACATTCTGGCGATGGTGCACAGATTCGTCTCACCCAGCTCCAACTGCCGGGCAGGCCAGACTCCCGAACGTCTTGTCGAACTGTCTCGCGAATGGATGTGCCCACTGCGGACTCCGCAGTGCGTAAGTCACGAGCACCCAGTAAGCTGCTACACGTGCAGAATTTGATTGGTTTGTGTAGGTCGCCGCAATCAAATTCTGCAAAAATACTTGAAAGCTGCAATGTTGACAACGTCATGTAGGAACTACAGTACCGTTTAACTCGTTCGTTCGCCGTTATTCCTATACCTCTCGACTAGCATGCTGTATTCTGCCCACATCGGCGCCGACCACAAGGGGCGGTTTGCTACCGATAGATGAAAGATGCCAGAAACTCTCTAGTCTAACTGACATTAGCATATTCCCGCTTGACGTATAAGACCACCTAAACCGAGGCCAACCAATACTGCTTGTATCTGTATAACTGTATAGAGATTCGTGTGGGTGCGAGCTAACAGGGTCAAGCGACAGGCCGAACTCTGCGAGCTGAGCCTCAAGACGAGCGACTACAAATCTGCGCGTAAACGTAACCCTTTACGGTGTCTGCACTGCGCGCTTCTCTTAGTAGGTTGCACACGGTTATCTATTCCAGAAATGGCGACCGAGGCAGCACAACGAACAGAGGTGGACGTCGAAAGCCCTCCGACTGCCATCGCAGTTGCACGAGACACCGAAACCGTCTCTTCACACAGCCAGGAAGTCGTCGTGGGCTGCTGGGGGGAAAAAGCACAGTATGGGACAGGCAAACCGATGCTCGCTGAGTTTCGTGACTTTATGTTTGGTGGCAATCTCATTCGCATCGCAGTGGCGTTGGTTCTTGCTCTGGCGCTGGAAAAGTTGGTGAATCAATTCGTTGCCTCCTTCGTCACACCCATCATTGGAATCATAGGCGCGGACTCTTTCGAAGAGCTTACATTTACGATTCGCTCTTCGGAGTTCAAGTATGGTCTTTTCCTCGATGCACTGTTTTCGTTCATCGTGATTTGCATCACGTTGTTCTTCTGCCTCATTCTACCGGTGCAGAGATATGGAGGACGTTGCGTTCCGTCGTGGATTATAAGAAAGTGCCCGTACTGCTACACGGATATGGCTGCTATTGCTACGAGATGCCCGTCTTGCGGCAGTGATGTGGAACCTCTCCCGATTGGCAAGACAATGGCGAAGAGCACGTGAGCCACGTGCTGTGCGGCAGTCCGTATCCGCCTTTTCGTATGCAGAACTGACATGGGAGTGGAAGAGATGGTGATTTGGCATGACGACTGGCTACAGCGACCGTCGTGTCTGTCCGAGCTGAGTTACCGTTGGTACAGGCAATCGCAGCTGACCGGGAGTGTATCTGTGAGGGATGGCATAGAATCGTGGCCTCCAAACAGTAGAATAAAAAGTCGTGGGGTTTATGACTTGCTTAAACTCGTCGGTCGCAAGACTTGCGCTTTGATTCGGATGTTTTTGACACCGACGGTCTCGTTACATACCTTCACCAGCCGTGTGCACGACGAATATGAAGTTCATACGTGAATTATGCGCGGGCTCAGACCGCAAGCGCGCCAGCGACAGCAGCACAGCACACGGCCAAACACAGCACACAGCCGAACGCACACTGGTGAAGAATCAGTGATAGTAGATTGGTATTTAAAATTGGCAGCAGCGGAATGACGCAAGAACTGCTTCCAAGATACATCTTTCACTGTAACTTACAAGTTCACGTATGAAGGTAAGTTATATACTTGCGTAACAATATCATCAAATAGACCACTTGTGTTGTCACACGTGTGCACCGTATTGGCCTCTCGAGTAAACATTTGTGGTATAAATATGACTAGAAGTGCCCGTCGACAGCAAGTCAAAAGCGATGTTCGTCTAGTGGCTAGGACCTCACGTTGTGGCCGTGAAAACGGGAGTTCGATTCTCCCACATCGCAGGTGAACGCGAATTCATCTTCAACTTCTTTTGTCTTCGTTTATGTTCAGTCTCCGAAGGACGCCTCAAGGTTCCATTCCATCATTCGTTACTGAGCCTGCTCCACTCTCCGCACGTCTTACCAAGCGTACAATCTAAATCTTTTCTTCTCCCTTCGACTAACTATTCTTAGTTGCTTTTTGGTTTGGCTGTTCACCATCAGCATGGTTGCCGTTCCCTTTTCGCCTAATCCTGAATGAGCAGCGAAATAGTAGCTCTGGGTCGTGCGTTGCTATACGTATGACTGGAGACCTTGTCAAAACACTTGACTGCTAGCAGGCGACTGTGCTACAAAGGATTGTTGTTTACGCTTGCGTGAAGATTTGCTACAAACACCTAACCATGCTCCCTTAAAAACCGTCGCGAACCTCGTCCATTGCGTACAGAAGCAGCTCTGTAGAACTATCTGGAGTGATCCCGCTAATTATCCGACGTGGTTCGCCAAACAGAAGCGGTGACCGACGAACGTTCACCGCATCCATGTTCTCATCCAAGTTTGATATACGCGGATTATTGCTTACCAGCACGTACTTTGCGCCACTGTCGCGCAAACCTCTCATGAAGCGCCAACCTTTGTCAAGTCCCCATCTCTGCAATCCCTTCCAGCTTACCACCATGTCTAATTCTTTCGGAATGATGTCCTTAATTTCGTTCACATTCGCTTGAAGAATTGCACTTGCTACATCTCCAAACACCTGTCTCAGCGTAGTCATGTCTTGAACAGGTTCCCTTGTGTCAATGCAATAGAACTGTAATCCAACAAGTTCAGATTGCAGTTTGCGAATCACATCAGGCATCCAGTCCGTCACCTCGTCGCACGGAGCTGCAGCCATTGAAAATATGTTCGCCTCTCGAGCAACTTTGTACACCATTTGCGCCAGCTGCGTCACGTTCTCCCCATCTCGCAGACCGTCAATCCCGTCTCCTCTCTCAACAGTTTTTTCCGACTCCAAACTCATGGGGACTGCCATTGGTGGGATGTCGATTGGGCTCGCTTCGGATGGCGATGCCGACGGCCATGGAGTAGACATTGGGGACATTATGGCGCCACGTTCGTCTTCAGATGTGCGATCTTGCTCACTGACGAAAGTAGAAGGTGCAGCCTCATTCACTTCGGATTTAGGTGAAGCCATCGGAGATGGAGACACAGTGCTTCCAAATTGGGTACTGGCGGGCTCTTCGTCACAGGGATGACCTTCCTCATTTTCATCCTCTACATCGGGCATGTTCTCAACGTTGTCTTCCTCAGCATTTTCTGAGAAAGCTGACTTGACGCGCAGGGGGTTTGAAGAAGCGTTTGTAGTGAGAAGACCATTCCTTTCTAGGGTAGAGTTGTGGTCGGCAAACGTGGTTGAACGGTGATGTGCGCCAAGGGGTGATTGTCGGTTGCTTCCGTCTCCAGACTTGGGTTTGGAACGACCGGTTATATAGCGGTATAAATCAACGACAGACCTCTGAAGGTGTCGGAATCGTTCGGAATCACTCTGCGACGAGTTTTTGCGAAGCTGAAGTCTGGACTTGAGAGATGCAGCTTGCAGCGTGGTGCCAGGCGTGTAGCCTAAAGCGTCGAGTGAGGATGCCAGGGAATTCAAGAGTGAGTGGAGTCTCTGCTCGGGTTGGTATGAATGAGACTGGAGATGCGGGGATTGGTGGCGAACTGTTGTAGGTGGATTAGCAGTGGCGATAGGGGATTGCTGTGGTGTTGAAGGCGAGAAAGTGGCATTGGATTGTGAGTTGGAGGAAGTGTGTGTGTTGCTGTTGTGAGTGATATTGGGTTGTGCGTTGGAGGAAATGTGCGTGTGATTGGAAGGGTGTGTTGAAGACGGGATGTAATCGGTTGTGTGATTAGAGGTGGAAGAGGCGCACGGATGGGGTGCAGAGGCATTGGAAAGTATGTCTATGACGTCGGGGACAGTGACATTGTGCAAGACTTCAACAGACAGATCTCCGCCCAGAGAAGAAGTAGAGCGACGATGAATGATAGGCCTGACAGAGGTGAGTGTGGATAGGATTCGGTGCAACCTACTAATGGTAAACATCTGCATGGCATTGTTCAAAAAGCGCTGGCGGCCGTGTGCGGAGGCTTTGACTGTGGAATTGAGGACGTGTGCGGTATGGTTGTGGTGCGAGGTGGATGTGAGATTGGCTTTTCGAGATGTATTGGTGGATAAGGTGAAGTTCAAAGGGTAGAATGCACTTGTCGGGAAAACTCGACCGCCGTCGTTGGTGGCTGGTAAGGGACTGTGAACAGTTTGCAGATGTGATGAGAGATGCGGTTGGAAGGGGGGAGGGATGTGCTTTTCGTGTTTGACAGGCGGAGTGACGACTGGACGGGGGATGCGTGGGCGAACGACGAGCGGAAAGAATGAGGTACGCGCACGCGGGTGACGAATGTTGTGATACTGGTAGCGATACGGGTACGGATGGGCGTGGACGGCGAGTAGGAGCGAAAGCAAGCAGAAGGGGACGAAAAGGCGAGGCGCAGTGGATGGCATGATGGATGGCGGCGTGTTCGAATGGGGGGCGGGCGGGATGACGTTGCGGAGGCTGCTCGCGCGGGGGTTGAAATAGGCGGCGGGGCGCGACGCGGGCTGCGCGCGGCGAGTTGGAATTGAAGAATGTGCGTGACGAAGAGTGGCGGGCGGTGCTTCGCAACGCATGAGATTGAGGGCGACGCGGAGCGCATTGCAGGCGCACAGCGGCGGCAGCGGCGCCTGCGCGGCGGTGGTGTGATGGCGCGCATGGGCGTGTTGCTTCGGTCACGACGCAGCCGAAGGGCGGCTTGCAATTAGAAGCATCGCCAGCGCGGTGGGCGCTGGCGATGCGCGGTGGGCGCCACCAGCGCCAGCTCTACGCGCGTCATGGTTGCAGCAACACGACGACACGACGACACGACGACACGACGACACGTATGTCACGTGTGGGGGCGCCACCAGCTGCACGCGTGACATGAGTTGAGCAACGGTAACTGTATGTACCAAAGGTACCAACGGTACTCGCACATTAAAAAGTTGTTTTAAGCTTCTCCACTGCACAGGTGACCGTTTTAGTGCGGCACAGACAGTGCGCGCACCGCGCGGCAGTGAGCGCGCCGCGCTTTCTCCGCCCACTTCAAACCTTTGATTATTATTATTATTATTTTTTTTTTATCGCTTACCGTACGCACGTCGCCAGCGCCCTATCAAAACGCGCATACCCGGCGCGCACCCCCTGCCGCATTTCCGAGCTCGCTCTCTCTTCAGCACTTTCAATTTCAATCTATAAACGTTACCGCCTCAACGCTTGTTGCGATGTTAGTCCTAGTCTCTCGCGTATTTGTATATTCTGTAAGAGTAGTCCACCCACACCCGTGCGATCGATAGCCATGGCCACAAACCCCGTCCGCGTCTTCCTTCCCAATCACATCCAAAAGGCGCCACTGATCACTCGTCGCACGCATGCTTTCACCTACCCCCACCCGTCCTGCGACGCACTCCCACCCACCCACCCACATCCATGATGATGACCCCCCCTCATACAACCTCATGCTTCATCAAAACAACCACATCATCTCATCCCCACAACGCGCGCAACTTCTAAAACGTCATGCATTACAGTTACAAAAAGCACAAACTCCTCTCAACGAGTAAGCAGTTTCCACAACGATGGCTTCTTTTCGCGTTCCTTCTCCTTCTCTCGAAACCATCCACCAATAACAGCCTGCGCCGCTCCGTGTTTCCAGTTCTTCTGTTTCTGCACCTTGTGCGACTTCAAAACGGCACCAGCAGTGTCGCCCCCATCGTCGCCCTCAATTCCACTCCCATACGCCGCAATTCTCGCAAAAGAGGTATAACTACGCCCTCGTTTATCCACACACGGCAAAGCCCTTAAACTGTCACTCTCCGCCTTCATCCCAATCGGCGGCGCAGGCGCGGTAGACGGCGTGGGTAGAAACGAAGGTGGCGGAGGGTTTCCAGATTGTCTTGTTACTGGCACAGCTGAGAATGCTAGTAAACCTTTAAGCTTCCCATCGCCATTCGCCGATGCGTTTTCTCGAGCGGCGGCGATGCAGTCGGCCAGATTGGCTGCAGCGTTTTTCGCCGCGTCTTGAGACGGTGGGGGACGTACACTGGGCGGACGAGTTACCTTTTTGGGAGCGCTGGGAGAAGCGCCTTGCGCGTCTAGCTGAATAGTGTGTTTGTTGTTCCGACTTCGTGCGACGGGTTGGCGTAGAGAGGACGGTCGTGCGTTGTATGTGCCTTCTGAGTACACGCGGTTGAACGTCTGTCGGTTTGCGAGCAGTAATGGTTTGTGCTCCAACACACGCTCGGGGCGGGAGGCGATGGAACGTTCCTGCGGGGGGCGCAGTTCGAACACGTCGCCGTCGTAGCGATAGCCGTTGTGTATGAAAAAGTTGTGCGGTGACGGTGGACTGGAGTGCTGCTCCGACGAGGCGGCGGAGGAGGCGGCGGAGGAGGAGGCGGAGGAGGAGGCGGAGGAGGAGGCGGAGGAGGAGGCGTCGTCGGTAAGCAGCAGTTGCTGTTGTTGATGCGCAGAAAGTGGGAAATGCGGCGTCTCAGGCAGTTGAAAAGCGGAGTGGTCAAAGGAGGCGGGCAGCGGAAAGGATGGTGGAGGCGGCAGGTGCATGTCGGGAGACAGTAAGTGAGGGGATGTAGGCGGCGATTGGGATGCGGATGTGGTGGGTGAATGTGGGGGTGACGGCGGTTGCGGGCAGTAGGGACGCGGTTTCGGGGAGGGGGCATGAGCTGATACCACTTGTAGTATGGGGGTGCCGTTGAAGATGATTTCGGATTTGGAGCGGGAGACAGAGGAGGTAGCAGAGTAGTTAAGTGGGGTGGATGAAGAGTTGTGACGGCGCGTACGTGCTGAGGAGAAGCGAAGGGAGGCTCGCGACGAGCGTCGGGTGGGCAGGGATGGGGTCATGGTGGGGTATGGATGGAAAGGTCGCAGGAAGTGAGTGAT